TTTACATTTCCCTCCTGATCCTTCACATAGAATGTAAGAATCATGAAAGCAGAAATTCTTTTTAGTTCAATACTGTATCACCTTGATTATTTGTAAGGTAGATAAGTGAACAAAGGTCAGATACCAAAGACTACGGCCTTGTGCACATTGGCAGGAAATAGAACAAGTATTTTGAGAACATAAAAAAAAGAAAAAAGATAACATAATATCCACGTGTTTGCTTTCCTAATACTCTCACACAGGAATTTGGGTTGTAAAAAGATTAAACATTTAATAAGCAAAAAGGAACTGTTTTGAGTGTGGTGATGGTTTCACAACTCTATTTTTACTAAACATAATTTGATTGCAGGCTTTAAATAGGTAACTTTTATGGCGAGTAAATTATACCTTAATAAAACTGTTTTGCGAAAGAGAGAGCGAGAGGTTACGGTAAGGAAGAGAAGGGATTGTGGTAATGGTAGTAATACTCAACTCAAATTCACTGCTTTTGAGTTGGAAACGACTCAGAGCTGACCCTCCAGGAGTTTTCGAAGGCTATAAATCACACAGGAGGAGACTGTGCATCTTTCTCCTTCAGAGTAACTGGTGGATTCAAACCACCTGCCTTTGAGTTAACAGCGCCACTCTTTACTCACAAGGACACCAGAACTCCTTTGGGAGTAAGACTAGAACTCAGAGTTTCATTCCTTGGCATGAGAATGGATATCAGTCTTTCTCAGCATCAAAAAAGATAAAGCTCATGGCTCATATAAATAATTGGAAAATAACATTAGTCTTCCATTTTCTCTTATTTCTGGAAAACAGGTATAAACGTGACTGTCAGTGCAAGATTTATCCAAACAAATACTTGGATTTATAGGTCAAGCGACTGCCGAAGTAGCACATGTGAAGGCCTGGACCTACTCAGGAAAATTGCGGTAAGTATTTGATTTTATAAACAGCTCATTCCCTCTCAACACAGAAGACTGTGAAATGTGAGCTTATCTTCATTTCTCTTCATCTCTGATCATGGAGTTTAATGATCTGACGATATGTCTTTAAAGACTAAATATGCCTGACCCACTCATAGCCTTTTCAGTTGCTTGCTATGCATCCGAAAGTTGGTCAATAAATATGGGTGATTAAAGAAGAATTAGCCAATAAATGAAGCCCTAGATGTGATCAAAGAGCTATACCAGGTAATCTGGAGGAAAGCTGCCTGGCCATTTGACTGGAAGGATTCATGTTTGTTCCCATTCCTAAATGAGATGATCCTACAGAAAGTGGAAATTACTGAACAATAAAATTAATATCACATGCAAGTAAAATATTGCTGAAAAGAATTTTTAAAAAAAAATGGCTAGAACAGTACGTTGACAAAGAACTGCTAGAAATTCAGGCTGTATTTAGAAGAGGCCACAGCATGAAAGATACCATTGCTGATGTCAGAGAGATATTGTCTGAAAGCAGAGAATATCAGAAGAATGTCTATTTGGGTTTTATTGACTATGCAAAGGCATTTGACTTTGTGGATAATAACAAATTATGACTAACATTAAAAATGGGAATCCTAAAACAATAATGCTTTTACAAAACGTATACCTAGATCAAGACGTTGTTGTCTGAACAGTGCAATGGAACACTGGATGGTTCAAAATCAGGAAAGGTGTGCACCAGACCTGTATCCTTTCTCCCTTCTTATTCAATATGTATGCAGAACAAATAATTTGAAAAACTAGGGAATATTATAAAGAATGTGGCATCAGGATTAGAGGAAGACTTACCAACAACATGCATTGTGCAGATGATACAGCCTTGTTTGCTGAAAGTGAGGAGGGCTTGAAATATATGCTGTAGAGGATCATAGACTACAGCTTTCAATATGAGTTATATCTACCCATCAGAAAAAAACCAAAAAATCCATCTCTACCAGGCAAATAGGCAATATTATGATAGATGGAAAAGAGGAAGAAATTGTTATGTCTTCATCTTCCTTGGATGTCAACACCTTTGGTACCAGCAACCAGGAAATCAAAAGATGAGAGAAAGTCTGCTGTCAGAGGCCTTTCTAAAGTACTGAAGAGCAAAGATTCAAGCCATGTTTTTTTCAATCACTTGCTATACATCTCAAAGTTGGACAATGAATAAGGATGACAGAACAATGTCTTTGAATTACAGTGCTGGGAAAGAGTTCTGAATATCCTATGGATTGACAAAAAAGACAAATCAGTATGTCTTGGAAAAGGTGTGGATACTTTGGTCATGTTGTTAGGAGGGAACAGTTGTTAGAAAAGGACATCATGCTGGGAAGGTGGAGGGAAAGACCCTCAGTGACGTGGATTGACACAGTAACTGTAACAGCACAGTATAGGACATTGTTCAGATCTACTATGAGCCTCTATGAATCATAGTCGACTCAATGGCCCTTAACAACAAGAAGAATCAATCAATTTGAATCATGGTGGTGGCAAAGAGAATTGAATATGCCGTAGACTGTCAAAAGAACAAACAAATCTGTCTTGGAGGAAATGCAACCAGGGAGCTCATTAGAGGCAAGGATGACAAAACTTGATCTAACATAATTTTTGGCATGTTGTCAGTAAAGACAAGTGCTTAGAAAAGACTGCACACTGGGAGATATAGGGTTAGTGAAAGCGAGGACAATCCTTAATGAGGTGAACTGACCCAGTGACTATAACCATGGGCCCAAGCATGACAGAGAGAGATCATGAGGATAGAACAGAATAGGGCAAGGTTCAGATTTATTGCTCATAATGTAATTATCAGTTGCCATTGCCTCAATGGAACCTAACAACAACAACAATATTTTCCAAGTTACGAAGGCCATTTCAGAATCTATGAAAGTGGGAAGAGTATTAGCTATATATAGTCTATAATCCATCAGTGATGTGGAGGGGAATTGTTTAGTTTCAGTTGGTCTAAAATATTTTTATATGTAAAGATTTTCCTTGTGTGCTTCAAGAAATAGCTGACACACCATGTTAAAAACCCTACTTCAAAGCCCTGTCTCAGAAATCTCTGTTTCAAGTCACCACCTCATATCTGTTCAATAATTGCCTGCTTCAGGGTTGAATCTGAAACTGAACTGTAGAGCAGTAGCTGCGATATCTCAAGGGAGAAATGGAAGCGAAAGATATTTGCCTAGTACCTTCTCCCAGTCTCCAACCCCAACATCCACCAGAGCTTTATGGAGCTAAGGATTTTATGTTCACTAGAGCAAAGGTGGTACATAAGATGTCTTCTTCACTATGGAAGGAATCCATAAACCGTGCAAACAGTTAAGAGATCAGCTGCTAACTGAAAGGTTGGTAGCTTAAATCTACCCAGAGGGCTCCTTTGAATGAAAGCTTTGCGATCTACTTCTGAAAATTCATCTACTGAAATTCTTCTGGAACATAGTTCTATTCTGACACACATAGGGTCACCAGGAGTTGGGATCAACTTGAGGACAGGGCTTTGTGTTGTTGTTTTTTTTGTTTACTACAGAGACTCTGAGAAGAATGGGAATCCCAGAACATTCGATTGTGCTAATGCGAAACTTATATTTGGACCAAGAGGCAGTTGTCAGAACAGATCAAGGAGATACTACATGGTTCAAAATCAAGAAGGGGGTTCGTCAGGGATGTATTCTGTCTCCATACCTTTTCAATCTGTATGCAGAACAGATCATCCGAGATGCTGGGCTGTACGAAGACGAATGCGGCATCAGGATTGGTGGAAGAATCATCAACAACCTGCATTATGCAGATGACACAACCCTGCTTGCTGAAACTGAGGAGGACCTGAAGCACTTGCTGCAGAAGATCAAGGACTACAGTCTCCTATATGGACTGAAGCTCAACATCAAGAAAACAAAGATTCTCACCACTGGGCCAATTGGCAGCATCAGTGTGGATGGTGAAGAGATTGAGATAGTTAACAGTTTTAATTTACTTGGCTCCACAGTCAACACTCTTGGTAACAGCAGCCAGGAAATCAAGAGATGAACTGCATTGGGAAAGTCAGCTGTGAGGGACCTCTCAAGAGTACTGAAGAGCAATGACATCGGACGGGAGACTAAGGTGTGCCTGATCCAGGCTATAGTCTTCACAATTACGTGCTATACATCAGAGAGTTGGAAAGTGAATAGGGATGATAGAAAGATAACTGATGCCTTTGAGCTGTGGTGCTGGAGAAGAGGGTTGAATATACCATGGACTGCTAGGAGAACAAACAGGTTTGTCCTGGAGAGGGTGAAGCCGGAAGGCTCTTTGGAGTCAAGGATTCTGAAGCTTCGTCTGACATATTTTGGGCATGTTGCAAGGAGGGACTGGTCATTGGAGAGGGACATCATGTTTGGCAGAGTGGAGGGGTGGCGAAGGAGAGGAAGACCTTCAATGATATGGATCAATTCTGTCACTGGAGCTGTGGGAATAAGTGCGTTTGAGATGGCTAGGTTGGCACAGGATAGAAGAGCGTTTAGAGCTCTTGTACATAGGGTTGCTATGAGTCACAAGCGACTCGATGGCACATAACAACAACACAGAGATATAAGGATAATCTCTCAGAGAAGCATAGCATTGTTAGCAAAGCCCCAGCTCTAAAATGATAGTCACATCACACCCACCAGAAGGGATGTGAGGAAAAGTTAGAATGAATTATGGCAGTGATTCTCAATCTTTCCAGGGTGGAAGTGGAGAGGGGGAGTTTAATAAATTCTATGTTAAGCTTCTAGGAGCACATGCTTCTTCTCTTTGTGTCAACAGAGAGAGTTATAACTTGGTTCTCTAAAACCAAGTATGGATGGTCAAGTTACATTTGCCTGTATGAAATAGGTGACAATGACATCAATATTCAATCAATTGTATAAAACTTTATTCACTTTAGTTCTTTTTTGGGGCCCTCTCTAAAATTTCATTTTGTTCTCTCAATTGAAAACATGTGTAAATCTAGTATCCCCATAATCTAGCTTATAAATGCTACTGCTGTTACTGTCTGTCAATCCCCTTTCCAGCCACGGTATGTTCTCCACTTTGTAAAGAACCCCGTTCACCCCAGGAAATCACCTTCAGTGGAGCCCTCATCACTACTGACATCTGTTTTCTATCTTAGATCTTATTCCCTAGCTGATTGCTTAGTTCAAGACATCATATCATGCAGCGACAGGATATTCCTAACTTTTGGGCCCCCCAGTTCCTCACTTCCTGTGAGCCTTCCCCTCACCACTTTGTTTCTATTTCATTAACTAACTTTTTTTTTCTCCTACAGGAAGATAAAGTAATGGGCTGTGCCCTCATGGGGCCCTCCTGCACTTACTCCACCTTCCAGATGTAGTAAGTTGTTTTATTGTTGTGTTGGTTCAATGCTTCTGTGAACTGAAGTCAAGAAATGACATAGATACTTAGACAATTTATCAAATATCAATCTAGCCAAGGTAAAAAATTAGGATACTGGAAGCTTAGTCTTTTGCCACTTCTCTATGACTGCAATTCGTTTAGCCATATACCTCTGCCTTTGCTCAACCTGGGATAAATTACAGAAGGATTTATAGTCAATTTCAGATATGAACAACCGAACTTGAGAGGCTACACAGTGCACAAAATTAGTCTCACCAGGAAGGTGATAAACTTGAGAAGTTAAATAGAGGAATGAATTCCCTGGGGAGTGCAATGGTTAACATGTCAACTTGCTAACTGAAAAGTTAGCTAGCATTTTTAGTCCATCCAGAGACACCTCAGAAGAAAGGCCTGGTGATCTTATGGCACACACTTCTACTATCACACATATGTGTCACCATGAATTGGAACTGAATCAATGGTAACAAACTATAACAGTCAATATTGACAGAATGGAGGGAAACACAAAGACCAGTGTCACACAAGAGACCATTAAAAGGACTCTTCTACTTGTGGATCAAAAAAGAAATAAGGTGCCTACTTCATAAGGTTATTTGAGGATTGTATAAATAACATATTAAGGGTTTGGATTCTAGTCTGTCAGGCACTATGATCAGGGATAGACAATCATAACTAACCATACTGGATTCCCAGAACACCCTAGCTGTGAGAAGTGTTAACAGGAACATCCATAATAGTGTAAAAACTTTCATAATAAAATCTGAAGCCAAGGATGGATGGAGAGAAGGAGAGTCTTCAAACTGTTTTCAAGTCAGGGGTGACTGCATCAGGATCCACAGTATCTCTGTCTGTTGGAGAAGGCACAGGTGTCAGAACATCAGTCAGAACAAGGACAGATGACATCAAACTAAAAACTGCGTGTGCATTGAAAGGCAGCTGGCATGGGTCTACAAAGAAGTCTTCAATGAGAACCAAGTGTTGATGACTTTCTAAGTCGCCTGTTCTTCATCCTCCAAAGTACATTGCAGTACAATAGCTGCTCCTTCTAGCAATCAGCTGAAGCACAAAAGTCAGGCTGACTCCTCTGGTAACAGCAGCAGCCTGGGGATTTCAGGCCCCAAAGAGTTCAGTGCCTGAGTGAGCTCCTTCTCCTGATGCTAATCCTACTGAGGAAGTCACTGAGCCTTTGAGAACTTCGGTTCCAAGGCTCCCAACTGAGAGTGAAAATTAAGACCCATGTCTCCAGAGCAAGTGTGAAGACCTATGATCTCTCTTTCACTCTGTATCCAAGTTGAACCAGGGCAAGCCATGTGCCTGCATAGTCAAGGAGAGACAGTGTAAGAGATGGCATGCTATGGAAGTGTTCTCCTTCTCTGGCCTGGAAAGCATCCTGTCCTTGGCCACCGAATGAAGATCTTTGCTTGAGGACCACTCTCAGTCACTCCACACGAGAGCTCTGTGTGGCCCTCCCTGCTCCTGTTCTGAGCAAGTTCGAGTTTATGTGAATGATGTGGAATATAACTTGTATCTTCCCAAGTAAATGTCCCACATGGCAGAAATGATGTACACACCTGATAGCAGGAAACTAACTACTATGCTTTAAACCAATGAAGGGTTGTTAGAGAGATTTAGTGAATGGTAGCCCTTGCAGCCACTTTGTGTGAGAAGACATCGCCTGCTCACTGTGCTTTCAATAAAAGCATTTCTTGGGGGGCAAAAAACCCCAACCAAACACAAACCACACTATATTAAAGCACAGTACCCTTATCACCTTAGGAAAAAAAGCTTCTATTTATTCTATGAGGAAAATTTTCTCTAGTTTTTGGGAAAGCAATCCAACCTCACCCCTCCCAATCCTTTAACTCAATGTAATTCACATTTTTTTTCTCCTGCCAGTTCACACTTTGCCCTGTCAAAATCCCTCTCATTTCACCCTTTCCATATTCTCTGAAATAAAAGATCACCCTTTACCAAGAAAGTACTTAAGATCTCAAAAAAAAAAAAAAATACAAGCAATGGGTAAACTTGGACAAGCAGCAGCTTTTAAAATTAAAAGATAAGCTTGACCATGAACATGTTGAATTTAAAATGCAAGTAGGACCCGAGTAAAACATTCCAATGGAGCAATGAAGAAGGAAGGCAATGTTGCTTCCCTTCATTTGTCAATGCATTTTGAATACATACCAACAGTGTATAAAGCACTAGAGTTACTGATACAAACAAGCGAGACAAGGCCCTTGACTCTGTGGAGTTTATAATCCAGAAGTTGCCATTGTTGGATGTCATGGAGTCAGTTGCAACTCATAGTGACTTTATATACAACACTGCCAATCTTGCGTCATCCTCACAATCACTGCTGTACTTGCAGAGGAGACAAATATTAAATGTTGTTGTTGTGTGTTGTCGAGTTGGAACCAACACAGAGCTGACCCTTCAGTGACTTTTCAGAGACAGTAAATTACACGTGAGATTGCCCATTCTTCTCCTGCAGAGCAGCTGGTGGATTTGAACCTTGTACCTTTGGAATTGTAGTGCAACTTCTTACCATTAGGACACCAGAGATATTAGATAGATACCTAAATTATTACATAGTCTTAGTTATCAGGGAAAGTTTCATTGCTGGCTAAAGAGATATTTCATCTAGGACATGATGGGGTAAGTCAGAGTCAGGTAAAGACACAGGAACATCATTACTGGCATTTGTTGGGATCTACAATCAAATTTATGTGTTTAAGGAACTATAAAGTCTATGTTGTTAAGATGGGAGAAAGAAAAGCTATATACAATAAGAAGACAATCAGCACAATACCGTTAAAGAAAAGGAAGACACAGAGAGGTGTAGGATTAATGGAGATAAGAATTACAAGGAGGAAATTGGACAAGTATGATTGCTTTCCAATTACTGACATTAATGCCAAAGAATAAATGGGTAGGAATGGTTGAATTAAAAATTATTGTCTTTGGGGACTGAGAAATATGGCATAAATAATGTATACTGCATTTGAAAACAGATGAGGGAGAAAACTGTTTAAAAGGGATATGTGATTAGGTATTTTTGTCATGACAGGAGTCCAGAGCGAAGGCTGCATAGTGGAGTGGACCTGGGGGAAGGGATTGTAAAACAATGAAAGAATTTTTCTTTTACTTTTCAAAGAGAAGAGTGTACTGGGGAGGGGTGGGCAGGGAGAAAAGTGCAACAATAAATGAATGGAAATCCAACGTCTCTGTAAACTTTCATTGAAATTAATAACAAAAAAATTAATGTCGTCATAAACTTCCACTCAAATCACAATTTAAGAAGAAGATAAGAATGTCCATGTGCTGAGCAAGGGAAGCAGTGCCTCAGATGATGCCTTTCTCAAAGGCGGCCAGCAGAGATTAAACTGTACATTGAGGAAACATATAAAAGACATCCTTCTATCTTTACAGTTATTATAGCAACCATATAGTCCATCTTCTATCTCCCAAGCTCTATGCTCCAAAGTCCATATGTATCAGCCTAGACGTCATGACAGTTCAAATGGGAAGCTATTTTAGTATAAATCAATGTAAACAAGCCATAAACACACTTTATGTCTAAAGTGTGCTTGGGATATAGCATAGTATTGTTTGTACTTGTACTTTCTTTGTTTTTTGTTAAGTGTTCGTGTCAGAGGACACCTATGTAAAAAAGACATGTGCTTGAATGGCCTTACTTTATTCTTACCACTTACACAAAAACAAACAAACACACAAATTGAAACATGTTAAAAGAATATCCTCTTTGTGCTCCTGAAGTTAATCCCAGTATTTGTCTCTTTCTTTCTTCTTTTTTTTTTTTCTTTCTTTCTTCTTAACAAAGCCTTGACACAGAATTGAACTATCCAATGATTTCAGCAGGAAGTTTTGGATTGTCATGTGACTACAAAGAAACCTTAACCAGGCTGATGTCTCCAGCTAGGAAGTTAATGTACTTTTTGGTTGACTTTTGGAAGGCCAATAATTTGCCATTCAAAAGTTCTTCCTGGAACACTGCTTATGTTTTCAAGAATACTACAGAGACTGAAGATTGTTTCTGGTAAGCAGAAGTATTAATATTTTGCTAATACTTTTCATGAAAAGAAGTTATAGACTCAGAGAGGGTTCCTAATTATTATCAGATGTATCTTCCACCTATAACAATGATGAGGATGGCTACAAATCCACATTACACATGCAAAGAAAGGTCAAAGGAATATAAAATCAACCAATATGATAACCAGCATATATATTACACTTAAAACAATTTATCTGGTTTCCAAAATACTTTCATGTAAATTTTATTGAGTTCCAACAGCAAACTTTTTGAGGGAAACAAGAAGAAAAATCCTAGTTTTATTGTTGTTGTTGTTATGTGCCATTGAGTCGCTTGTGACTCATAGCGACCCTATGTACAAGAGCCCTAAACGCCATTCTATCCTGTGCCAACCTTGCTGTCACAAACACACTCATTCCCACCACTCCACTCACAGAATCTATCCATCTCATCGAGGGTACTCCTCTCCTGCGCTGTCCCTCCACTCTCCCAAACATGATGTCCCTCTCCAAAGATCAGTCCTTCCTTGCAACATGCCCAAAGTATGTCAGACAAAGCCTCAGAATCCTTGACTCCAAAGAGTATTCTGGCTTCACCCTCTCCAGAACAAACCTGTTTGTTCTCCTAGCAGTCCGTGCTGTATTCAAGTCTTCTCCAGCACCACAGCTCAAAGACATCAATTCCCTTTCTAGCATCCCTATTCACTGTCCAACTCTCCGATACATAGTATGTTATTGCAAAGACTATAGCCTGGATCAGGTGCACCTTAGTCTCCAGCCTGATGTCATTGCTCTTCAGTACTCTTGAGAGGTCCCTCACAGCTGACGTTCCCAATGCAATTCCTCGCCTGATTTCCTGGTTGCTGTTACCAACAGTGTTGACTGTGGAACCAAGTAAACTAAAACTGTTAACTATCTCAGTTTCTTCATTCACACTGATGCTGCCAATTGGCCCAGTGGTGAGAATCTTTGTTTTCTTGATGTTGAGCTTCAATCCGTACTGAAGACTGCAGTCCTTGACCTTCTGCAGCAAGCACTTCAGGTCCTCCTCAGTTTCAGCAAGCAGGGTTGTGTCATCTGCATAACACAGGTTGTTGATGAATCTTCCACCAATCCTGAAGCCACATTTCTCCTCATACAGCCCAGCGTCTTGGATGATCTATTCTGCATACAGATTGAAAAGCTATGGAGGCAAAATTCATCCCTGACAGACCCCTTTCTTGATTTTGAACCATCCAGTGTCTCCCTGCTCTGTTCTGACGACTGCCTCTTGGATGAAGAATAGGTTTCGCATTAGCACAATCAAATGTTCTGGGATTCCCGTTCTTCTCAGAGTCAGCCATAGCTTGTTGTGATCCACACAGTCAAAAGCCTTTGAATAGTCAATGAAGCACAGATAGACATTCTTCTGGCATTCTTTGCTTTCTGCTAAGATTCATCTTACCTTAACTATAATATCCCTAGTACCACGACCTCTTCTAAATCCAGCCTGCACATTTGGCAGTTCTCTGTTGACATATTGTTCCAAACATTTTTGGATAATTTCAGCAGATTCTTGCTTGCAAGTGATATCAATGAAATTGTTCAATAATTTCCACACTCTGTTGGCTCCCCTTTCTTTGGAATGGGAATAAATATCGATCTCTTCCAGTCAGTTTGCCAGCTGGCTGTCCTCCAGATTTCCTGGCACAACTTAGTGAGCACATCCAGGGCAGTGTCTGTTTGTTGAAATAAATCAACCGGTATGCTGTCAACTCTGGGAGCCTTGTTTTTTGCCAATTACTTCATAGCAACTTGAACTTCCTGCTTCATCACCATAGGCTCTTGCTCATATGTTATTTCATGAAATTCTTCTGTGTCAGCCAATTCCTTCTGATACAGTGACTCTGTGTACTCCTTCCATCTTCTTTTGATACTTGCTGGATCATTCAACATTCTACTCAAACTATCTTTAAGTATTGCCACCCATGGCTTGAATTTGTTTTTCACCTCCTTCAGCTTAAGAAATACTGAGCGAGTCCTGCCCTTTTGATTTTCTGACTCCAGCTCTGTGCACATTTCTTTATAGTATCTTGCTTTGTCATCCTGGGCTGCCTTTTGAAATTTTCTGTTCAGCTCTTTGGTTTCTTTATTTTTTTTCTTTAGCTTTGGCTTCTTGGCACTCTAATGCAATACTCAGAGTCTCATCTGACATCCATCTTGGTCTTTTCTTCCTTTGTAACGATCTTTTGCATTTTTCATGGATGATTTTCTTGGTATCCTCCTAGAACTCATTTGTGCTCAAGGCCTCAAACCTGTTTGTGAGATGATTTTGGAATTTGAGTGGGACAGACTTAAGGTCAAATCTTGGTTCCTGTGGACTTGATTTAATTTTCCTCAATTTCAGCTTGAACTTGCATATGAATAGTTGGTGGTCAGCACCTGGCCTGTTTTTCATTGCTGGTATTGAGCTTCTCCAGTGAGTCTTTCCACAAATGTAATCGATTTGATTCCTATGCATACCATCAGGTGAGATCCATGTGTATAGCCTGCATTTATGTTTCTTATAAAAGGTATTTGCAATGAATAGATAATTGAATGTGCAGAACTCTATCATTCTATCTCCAGCCTCAATTCTCTCACAGAGCCCGTGTTTTCCTGCTACTGATCCTTTTTCCCTGTTTCCAACTTCTGCGTTCCAGTCGCCCATTATTATTAATGCATCTTGGTTGCATGTTTGATCACTTTCTGACTGCAACATTTGGTAGAAATAAGGAAAATGAGAAAGTCATATTACTGAGAATAATAGATTACCAGTAGATGTGTGTATTGATTATATCTGCAAATAGCTTGAACTCTTTCTCTCCCAGATATTCAGAGAAATAAGAGCAGGCCAGAGGAGAGAAGAGAACCAATCCGTACCATTGTAGTAACTCCAACAGAAGTGACAGAGGCAATCTTTTGGTTAGACTACCATCTGAAACTCCATTATATGGCATTATTCTGGAGTCTATCTTTGTCTAAGCTGACAGAGTGCAATTAATCTGGAACTTATATGTAGGAAATGATAGAAATGATTCCTAAGGTCTCATTCTGGAGACTATGAAGTAAACTTAGAATACACTAAAAACCATTTCACACAGAGGAGGAATTGGTTCTGTTAGTTGTTTTGTACACTGTAAGTTCAAAGAATTTTATTCAAATAAAAAATTGCAAGAAGTGATAATAAGGAACCTACAGTTGTGTTTTATTGTGTACATATATCATGGTATGCACATCCCACTTTCATAGTAGTGGAAATGAATTTTAGAATTTTATATAAACAAGTCCCAGAAGAAATCTGAAAAATGAGTGAAAGTCACAGACGCTTTGAAGATACTAAGCTGATTTTTTACTATTTCTTTTTCTGTTTCAGGTATCTCAATGCTCTGGAAGCTGGAGTTTCTTACTTTTCTGAGCAACTTTTCTTTAAGGACGTTTTAAGACGAAATGAACAGTTTCTGGATATTCTAACAGATCACAACAGGAAAAGTAATGGTAAGAAGACAGACAAAAAAGAGAATGTTTTGTCAACTTCTTCCTCATGATCACCACCTCCTTCTGAGTCATTTTGACAAGCCTATCACCTCAGAACTCCCATCATTACCTTCACAGTTTTGTATGTTTGGTGATTGGGAAAGTCTGTAGTTAGGAACCTCTCCAAGTTATTGAGGATCAATGATAACAGTTCCTGATTCAGGCTATGGTCTTTTCAGTCACTTACTATGGATCTGAGAGCTGGACAATGAATAAGGATGACAGAAGAAGAAATGATGACTTGGAATTATGATGTTGGAATAGAGTACTGAATATCTCATGGACTGCCAAAAGAACAAATAGATATGTATTGGAGAAGGTGCATCCAGAGTGCTCCATGAAGGCAAAGATGATGAAGTCTCATATACGTTGGGCATGTTGCTAGAGGAGGTTATTCCTTGGAGGGGGACATCATGCTTGGAAAGGTAGAGGGATGACAAAGGAGAGGATGACCCTCAACCAGGTGGATTGACACAGTGACTACAGCAATGAGTCTCAGTGTGTCAGAGATTGTGAGGATGGCACAGGATAGGACAGGGTTCAGATCTGTAGTTCATAGGGTGGCTATGACTTGACTCAATGGCACCTAACAATGACAACAATATTTGCATGCAGCTTTACTATGTTTCTGCTGTTGATTCAACCTCTATCCGCTGAGAGAAAACAGAAAAGTTGTATTGCGAAAATACATCTCTATAAGGGTGAAACTCAGCTTTATTAAGCACAAGTGATACCATAATTCCCCATTGGTAAACTTCTTGTGAAGTTCACCTTATCCAATTTGATTTGTGATTAATACTGTTTAATGACACTAATCTTAACACATTCTGAACTTTGGTCCCCTAGTGACTAAGTAGATTAATTCATCACTCTTCTCAGGCAAAATTACAAAGTAAGCAAAGTGTCATACTGCCCTCTGGATTCCCTTTAACCTCTCTCTAACTCCTTGCCCACTGATATCCCAGCTAGAGGCCACGTGTCCAAGGAATAAAATCCTACTGACTAAGATATTAAATGATGTTTTGCACAGAACTCTCTTTACAAATAAGAATAATTTAAGAACAAATTAATCAATTTTGCAAACTTCCTACAGGAGAAGACACTTGTTTGGTGGGATTTCCTCATATTCCTCAAATCATCATCTACTATTGTTATCAAACATTTGTTGTATTAGGAAACTTCACTCACAAAAGGACAAATACTGTATAAGACCATTGCTATAAAAACTATAGAAAGGTTTACATATAGAGAAAAAACAATCTAATATGGTTACAGGGAAAGAAGTAGAAAGGGGGAAGTATACCCTTAATAGGTGGACAATGACCATGTATTGAAAGGGTGAGGGAAAGAACAGTGTAGAATGAATGGATATAAAATATTGTGTGCATTGCAACTAGCCTTAAGGAAAAAATATACATAAGCTGTTGATTTAATAAAAAAGAAACTACAATTTGCAAATTATTGACCAAGACATGTTGAGGGGAACAACAGAAGCATAAAATTATTCATGTCCCTGAAGTGTTTGCCTGCCAGCTGGATAGCGTGTCACATAAAATAATCCAGTAAAGTGTTACTCAATCTTCTTACCATAGAGTCATGCATTTGAGAGATGGTTACATGCAATTAGTTATACAGCTTATAGAGTCAAAGTGGACTCCTATAGTAAAAGAACATTAGGTGTATTCTGGATTCAAAAGCTACAGACAAAACACAAGGAAAATGACTTTGAAGGATATAATGTTTTATTTCCACATTATCTTTTATCTTTTTCAACTCCTATTCTAAATCATAAGATGCATTGATTTGTTAAGACAGTAATTGCAATCATTACTCAAGCCTGGTGTAATGGAATAAGCACTAAGCCAGGAGTCATAAACTTAAACATTAGAACTCCATCCTCTACCTGTTCTTTAAACCTTTGGAATCTAGACTTCAGGAGACAGAATAAATTATTCTTTTTAGCTGCACACAATTGTATTCTGACTCTATAAATGCAAATTAAAGGGGGAAAGGGTCGCTTGAGGGGTTGGTACTAATACACGTATTTTATATTTAATCAGTATACTTCACTGGATCCAAATTCAAATAGCTCAAGTCCCCCGGTTTATGTATAGACCACTGTGCATGTTTCTCTGTTTTGCTCTCTCTTCTTCAGTGATTGTCACGTGTGGTACTCCAGAAACCATGTCCTCCTTTCTGAGCGAAACTTCAGTGGCTGAAGACACTGTCATCATTCTGGTGGATCTATTCAAGTAGGTTTAATACTTAGAAAAACTATCCTTTTTTCCAAATAGAAACAATAAAAAAAATCCCAGGATGAACTTTTTCACTTAGCCAGCTTCTTATAGAGTTCAATATAAAGATAACACTTGAACCTGTTTTTCATTCCTTCTTCATCACATCCTCATGCTTATTTAATTAGTTATGACCATTGACACATAAATCATGTTTAAATACAATAAGCATGCTCAATCAACACAGGATTCTGATGTCCATTCTGTATTTATAAAGTTCAAGCAGTGATAAGTCAGCTAATAATAACATTATTCCCGACAATGTGAGCCATACTTATTTTAATTGCTAATGGTCTTTTTGGAAGGAGGAGTGGCATCCACTTCTGTAATAGCTTGCCTCCAGAAACCCTATGAACCTGGAGAGAGGATGAAAGGCACCCAAGCATCGAGGACTCTCCTTCATAGGGTTGCTATGAGTCACTTGTGACTCGACGGCACTTAACAACAACAACAACAACAATGGTCTTTGATCCTAGATTGCTTTTTCTTTGGCTACCTTTGATAGGAGGAAAGTTGAATTTGACTTGCATAAATGATTCATGCACATGTGTGTACTACAAAACTATATTTTTCTCAAGGCTACTCTTGGCAGCCTTATTTGTTACAACCACAAACTTTAGGAGGGGTAATATTTAGTCACCTGATTAAGAAGATTTTAGGGCACTCTCTGATCCTATCATGTGTAAATTCATGAGGTTCCTGATGTTGAGTTATGAGGCCAAAGTTGAAAACCCAGACCTCGGCTGTGTGTGGAGCCCAGTGTTCCTGAAATAGGTTTGAGACTGAAAGTTAAGAAAGCTGACTGACTTCTGGGAGAATGGTCTTAAAAAATCAAAAGGGCCGAACATGCTCAGCATTTCTTAAGTTGGAGGAACAGAAGGACAAATTCAAGTTGTGAGTGAGTTGCAATGCTTAAGGATGTTATGAGCAGAATAGTGAATGATTCAAGAAGCATTAAAAGAAGTAGCTGACACAGAAGAATTTCCAGAAACAACATATGATCAAGAAGTAAAGGTGATGAAGGAGGAAGTGCAGGCTGCTCTGAAGGACTTGGCAAAAAAATAAAGCCCCAGGAATTGATGGAATATCAATTGACGCATTTCAACACAGAGATACTGCCCTGGATGTGCTCACCAAGTTGTGCCAAGAAGTCTGGAGGACAGCTACTTGCCAACTGATTGGAAGAGATTCATATTTATTCCCATTCCAAAAATAGGTGACCCGACAGAGTGTGGAAATTATCAAACAATACCACTAATATCACACACGAGCAAAATCTGATGAAAGATCATCCAGAAATAAATGAAACAGTACATTGACAGAAAACTACCAGAAATACAAGCCAGGTTTAGAAAAGGTCATGGCACTAGAGACACTTTTGCCAATGTCAGATGGATCTTGGCAGAAAGCTAAGAGTTCCAGAGGACTATCTGTCTTTGTTTCATTGACCATGTAAAAACATTTGACTGTGTGTATCACAACAAATTGTGGCTAACCTTGAGGAAAATCGGAATCCCAGAACATTTGATTGTGCTATGTAAAACCTATACTTGGACCAGGAAGCAGTCCCCATAACAGAGCAGGGAAACACTGCATGGTTCAAAATCAAGAAAGGAGTGTGTCAGGGATGCATCATGTCTCCATACCTTTTCAATCTATATGCAGAACCGATAATTCGGGAAGAAAGGAGGACTGTGGCATCAAGATTGGAGGAAGACTCATCAACAACCTCATTATGCAGATGACACAACCTTGCTTGCTGAAACTGAGGAAGACCTGAAGTGCTTGCTACAGAAAGTCAAGAACTGCAGCCTTCAATATGTATTGAAGTTCAACATTAAGAAGACAAAGATTCTTACCACTAGGCCATTTGGCAGCAATATGATAGATGGAAAAGAGGCTGAGGTTGTTTATGAGTACAGCTTGCTTGGCTTCACAATCAACACCAGCAGTCAGGAAATCAAAAGACGTATTCCTTTGGGGAAATCTGCTGTCAGAGACCTCTCCAGAGTGCTGAAAAGCAATGATGTCAGTCTAAGATTAAGGTGCACCTAATCCAGGCAATGGTATTTGCAATTACTTGTTATGCTCCAGAGAGCTGGAGAATGACTAAGGATGACAGAAAAAAAAAAATAGATACCTTTGAGCTGTAGTGCTAGAGAAGAGAAATACTGTGGACTTCCAAGAAAACAAATAGGTCTGTCCTGGAGGAGGTGCAACCAAGTTTCTCCTTGGAAATTAGGATTTGAAGCTTCTTCTCCAGAATACAGAGAAGCAATAATGTCAGTCTAGAGACTAAGGTACCCTGATCCAGGCAATGGTCTTCACAATTACTTGTATCAGAGAGCTGGACAATAAGGATGGAATAAGAAGAATCAATGCCTTTGAATTTTTGTGCTGGAGAAGAATAATGAACATACCATGGATTTCCAAGAGAACAAACAGCTCTGTCTTGGAGAGAGTGAAACCAAGTTTCTCCTGGAAGGCAAGGATTTTGAAGCTTCATCTCACGTGCCTTGGGGACAAGACCAGAAGGGACCAATTCCTAGTGAAGGATATCACGCTTGGAAGGGTAGAGCAATAGCACACGAGAAGTCAACCCTGGATAAGATGGAATGGAACAGTAACTGTGGTAAATGGAGGTAGGTATGTCAGAGTCAGCTTGACTGGCTCAAGGTAGGGCAGGCTTCAGAGTTTTTGTATAAAGGGTCACTATGAGTCACCTGCTCAACAGCATACAACAGCAACAAGTTTCTAGAAGGGAGAACTAGTAGTTTAGGGGTAAAGAGTTTCACTGCCAATTGAAAGGCCTGCAGTTTGAATCCACCAGCTGCTCTATGTGAGAAAGATGGACAATTTCCTCCTATGAAATTTACAGTCTCTGAGTACTGAGTGTACCATGGACTGCTAAGTAAATAAATTAGGTTCATCCGGGAGAGTGTTAAACAGGGCTGCTCCTTGGAGGCAAGGATTCTGTGGCTTCATCTGACTGACATACTTTGGACATGTGGCAAGGAGGGACCAGTCCTTGGAGAGGGACGTCATGCTTGGGAGGGTGGAGGGACAGCGCAGGAGGGGAAGACCCTCTATGAGGTGGATTGATTCAGAGACTGGGGTAATTGGGGTGGGTGTGTTGGAGACGGTGCGATTGGGACAGGACAGAGCAGGGTTTAGGGATGTTGTACACAGGGTCGCTATGAGTTGCAAATGACTTGACAGCACATAACAACAGTAACAACAAGCTTCAACTCATTAACACTAAGCTGCCAGATCTCCCTAAATAATTTTGGTACATATGAAAAGGAGGGACTTCTGGTGGCCTGTAGTTAGAGAGTTGTGCTTTTAATGCAAAGGCAGGCAGTTAAAATCCAGCCAGCTGCTCCACAGAAGAAAGATGAGAAATCTACTCCTATGCAATTTACAGACTCTAAAAACCCACTGGAGGGTCAGTTATGAGCTGGTTCTGACTTGATGGCTGTGAGTTAAAGAGTCAGTAAGCATGAAAAGAAAATTTCTAAGTTGGAACCAAAGATCTTAAACTCTTGAAAGCAAGCACTAGGTCCCATACTAAGAGCTCCAGAAACCACCCTCAAAGGCTTGTATCCTGATCTTACCTTGCATTTTTGAATGCGAACCACAATTACCTAAATTCTCTTATTTAACTTAGCAAGTAGAAGAAAAGAAACTGTTCTGAGAATATAGAAAGCTTTGTGTATTAGTAAACAAAAACAACAAAATTTTAAAACTATCTTCAAGACTGATGTGTTTTTGAAGGGTTATAATTTCCATAGGAACTCTGGTAGAATACAATATTGCATGTTGAGTCAATAAGAATCTAAATCAACTCAGTGGCAGTGATTTGGTCTTTGATTTCTATGAGACACTGTTGTCTTTTTTTTAAATATAGTAACTACTATTTTGAGGGAAATGTCACAGCTCCTGACTTTATGAAAAATGTCCTTGTGCTGACACTACCTCCTGAAAATATCAACAGTTCTTCTTCCAAAGATCCGTCACTGGTAAGCTCTTTCTATATATACTGTTTCTTTTCTTTGAAAAAAAATGTACGATCACTAACATCCTACAGAGGTCCCAAGGGAGCTCTTGTGGCCTAGTGTTAGGTAACTGCTCTGTTAACTGAAGGCAAGTAGTTTGAATCCAACAGCTTCTCTGCAGGATAAAGATGGACAATCTCCTCCCATGCAATTTACTATCTCTGAAAACCAACTCTGGGTTGGTTCTGACTCGATGGTCCACAACAACAACAACACAGGAGTCTCAAATGCTAAAATGAACAGTTATATTTGCCCATTTCCATTAACTCAGCAGATGTTTACAGAGACTTACTATGCATGCAGCATTTTACAAGAGTAGGATCTCCACCCAAATGCTTATTCCAGGCCACCATTCTGGACTCTAGACTACCACGCCAGAAGAAACATCAGAGTGAGAATGACAGGGTGAAAAGACAGGAAGAGGCCTGTCACTGAGGGCCAGTCTTAAAACTGGGAGCAAAACAAAGCCCAGGTGCTGCTGAGTTGGTTCCTGCTCGTGGAAACTGTGTGTGCTACAGTGGAACTGTGCCCCATAAGTTTCCAATGGCTGACTTTTCAGATAGAGATAGACTTTCCTTCTGAAGTGACTCTACATGGACCTAAACCCTCACTCTTTCCATTACCAGCCACATGGTTTAGCCATTTGTACCACTGGGGCACCCCCTTACTTTTTGTTGTTGTTGTTGTTAAGTGCTGTCAAGTTGTTGATGACTCATAGCGACCCTATGAACGAAAGACCTGAGACTTGTATAACTGTCATCATTTCTCTAAGCTCATAGGGTTTCCAGAGGCAAGCTATTTCAGAAGTTGATGCCACTCCTGCTTTCAAGCTTGTTTTAATTGGGGAGCTCCACCCAACACTGTCCACCATGAGTAACGATTATCACATTTGACACATCAGGGGCACAGTGTTCAGCATCACAGCAACCATGAGTCACCACAATGATGTAAAATAAAGTGTCTTTCACTTTAAGTCCTTTACTTCCTAAAGTAGCTTTCCTTTCACTGCTATCAAAATGCCACCATTATATATATTTCTTAATTCTAAAGAGAACTCTGGTGGCTTAATGGTAAAGAATTGCCCTGCCCACCTAAAGGTACATGGTTCAAATCTACCAGCTGCTCCAAGGGAGAAGGATGGGCAATCTCTTCCTGTGCGATTTATTGCTTCTGAAAACCTGCTTGAAGGTCACCTATGGATCAGTTCCAACTCAATGATACCTAACAACAGCACTTGACTATTCTCCAAGTTTGCCCAGGAAAGTTCTGATTTATTCCTGTTATCTCTAGATCTCACTGATTTACTATTTGTTTCAGAAAAGAAACCTCAGTTTAGACATAACTCATCGTTTTAACCGAATCATCAAAGCTCATCCTAATAGTCTTCTTATTCTGATACAGAAACTCTGCTACAGACAGCACACTGGGCTCCACTAGGCACCGAACCTCACGTAATATGATCAGGTTTATCAGATGTGGCGTGCAGAGACAGCCAGCGGAAGCAACATAGGGTGGGAGGAGAAGAACAGGCACAAATTAAGAATCTAGACAACTTTAGGATGGCAGATCAGGAACTAGGCTAAAAAGCTATGAGGAGAGTTGAATATTTTTGTGGCCTTCACAATTTTTTCTAGATGAGGTTTTAAGTCCTTAGTGTTAAGAGTCTTGCCACAATCAGGGACTATAACCTTGATTGGATTTTGAAATGATGATTTCAGCAAAAAACAAAACAAAAGCCAACAACCCTCTGAAACCAATTAAAAAGGGTTTGTTCTGCCTTTTCATACTTTCTAGTAAGGTAATTACAGGCATAGTGTTCAGATACCACTTTTACTCCTTCTATGTTCTGGTAAACAGAATTTTTTACAGAAGAGCAGTCCAAAATGTTTGGGCTGACAGAACTTACGTGGTGTCAAAGCGATGCAGAGTTTTACAGTTAACCATATAGTGATCATTATGTAACTATGGCAGAGGAAGGAGAGTTCTGGCTCCTTTCCTCATCCTTCCCCTACAAAATTTTGGAGCCTGAGGTAGCATTCAATTAGAATTGTCTTCAATGCAAGCTCAGTGGTATCATCCACTCAAAATCTTCATCCCCTATGCTAAAAGGTAGTTTTTGTTTTTCTTTTTAGCTTTCTCTTCATTTACTTTTTAAAATAAGAACATTGTACTACAAGGAAGCACTGTTTCTATGTCTTATGAGAATTAGGGGAATTCCCAGAGACATTCTATATAACAATCATAACTCTAATTCCCAAACCAGGCACGGATATTACCAAAAAAAGAAAAACTACAGACCAATATCTCTCACGAATGTAGATGCAAAAATCCTTAACAAAATCCTAGCCAATAGAATCCAAAAGCAATTCATCCTGAAGGGAGCTCTAGTGGCCTAGTGGCAAGAAGCTGCACTGCAACCCCAGAGGTATGTGGTTCAAATCCGCCAGATGCTTTGCTGGAGAAGGAGAGGCAATCTTCTCTTGTACCAGTCAGATCCAATTTGACAGTACACACA